CGCTCAACCAAAGCATTAGATGTATTCTAAAATTTAATCCCAGACACGGTAGAGCAACCAATAGCTACCATGTCTTCCAACTCAGATTTCATGACAATGAGTAACAGACGGAAAAGATGAATATAAGCCTAAAATCATCAAGTAGATTTATACTTTATCCCATATGATTGCTGATGGAGCAATGGGCAAAGGACTGAAGGAATCCACTGTGATTGCCAGTAGGAACAAAACCACATTTGCGTCACTTATATACATATATTTGCATACACATTTGCATAACTCACACACCAATCTGCATACATTTGCATAAACTACATAGATACATTACTTATTTGAAACAGTCATAACCCAATGAAGACAAAATAATATATGAAAACTGCTTGAAACTCAGGAGAAAATAACTTACCTTTTTGTTTTGGTTGGGTTGTTCCAAAAGACAAAAATGACTAATGGTCATCAGACCTTCCAGAAGAGTGAGTGGATAATCCGGAGAAATGTTTTCCCTCTTGGAGGTTGTGCTTTGGTGGGGAAACAAAAAACTAGTTTTGAGAACTTTTAAGAATGAGGTCATAAAGGTTTTTAATCCTACATATAAACATAGAAACCAGACATATATCACTATCTTGAACTGAGGCTCTCATAATGAAATATCATTGTTATAGTAATAATAGGCATCTTTTCTGCTATTTTATTTATGTATTTATTTATTTTTCCCTTTTTTGTCTTTTTTACTGACCGGTAATGGGATCGCAACCCTTGGTGTCGCGCCCGTACCGGGGACCGGCAACGGGATTGCAACCCTCGGTGTTGGGCCCGCACCGTGCTCCGCCAGTGAGCGGGAACCGGTCTCCACATGGGATCCGAACCCTCGGCGGGAGCGCCGCCGCACTCCCAAGCGGCGCACTCTCCAGTGTGCCACCGGGCCAGCCCGTTTCTGCTATTTTACATTCCAAAGAGTCACTTTGCAAAAATGGTTTCAGGTCTTAGAATCTCTGTGAAGATGATTCATGTTTTTATTTCTGTTTTGCAAAAATAATGGAGAGTAACTGACTTGCCCTATGAAATTAAACAAAGAGTTGGAATGTTTAGTTCCTTGTTAACCCTCTTGACATTGCTAAATAAACTAGCTTCTAATGAGGTTGAAATTATCCTTCAACCGGCATCCATGGCAAAAGAGCCATTCATCAGCAGAACTGTCATTAAAGCAGTAATGATGCCTCAAAGAGTTCAATATACCTGATGGAGAGCTTCACAGATTCGCTTTCATACTGCTTGACCAGCTCATCCAAGTTTTTGCAAATCTGGACAATGAAAGGGGTCACTGTCCAGCCCAGGGACTTTCCGAAGTATGGCAAGGAATGCGTGACCAAGCTCACCCAGGCCGGGTGCATGCCATATCCATAGGCGGGCTGCAGGCCTCTCACCACGGCAGAGACCAGCAGGCCCTGGGAGGTGAGGGGATGGGGCTGCACATACTGTGTGGCGCTGATGGCCTGCTGGAAGTTCAGGGCCCTCTGCCACTCCCGGGACAGGTCTGGCTGGTTTTCGGCCTCCTCTTGGACCTGACCCAGGTGATGCTCCAGGACAATCAGCACCTGCAGGAGCTTGAGCAGCTCGATCTGCAGTGGGTGCTCACTCCAGATCTGGTCCTGACCCAGATGGATGAGACTCTCCTCAAAGAGGATGTCCTCCTGTGGGGCCCTTCCCGGGCCAGCAGCGGCCAGCCCATAGCGCTTCTGGCTCGTGTACATGGATGCTGACAGTGAGAGCAGCACAAACTCCTGCACTTTGCACCTCTGGAGTAAGCTATTGATGAACTCCATGCTCCTCCCGTCAGAAGACTTGGCCACTGACACCAACTGCGTCATTATTCTAATCAAAACCTCAACACTTTTGACCTGTACATCCCGGTTTCCGAGTATGTCTCGGTGGGAGATCTTTAAATAACAAGGGTAGTAGGAGCGTAGAAAACTCAGGCAAAGGTAGGTGACGAGCTCGATCAGCAGAGAGTGGGGGCACACGTTGGGGGACTGAGTCTGGAGTTTTCCGTAGAAGCTCTGGCCAATGAGGGCCTCCTGGTGGCGGGCAAGGAGATTGGAGATGAGGTTGAGGTGTGCAGTGGAGCTGGTGTCCATGCTGGTCCTGGACACGGCCTCAATAAACTCCTTAGGGTTGGTTTTGAGCACGGCCTCCAGCACCGAGAAGGCGTAAAGGACCCGCCGCGAGTCATAGGGCTGCAGATAGAGCAGGATGTGCTTGAACAAGGCCTCGATTGACTCCTGCCTCTCCCTCTGCTGCTTCAGCAGCCTGGACGTGGTGAGGGCCTGCAGCTCCAAGTCAGCCTCCTCATCACTGGAAAATGACTCTGAAGCCTGGGTCTTGTCCGAGTCCACACGCACCAGGCTTAACTTGGCATTGGACCTAAAGCTCTCCGACTGCGAGGCTACCAGCAGGGCGGAGCGCTTGGGGTGTGCCCTGCCCCCCATGGGGATGGGTGCACAACAGTTCTCGTCACTGCTCAGCCCCTGCAGGTCGTGGGACGGGGAGGAAAAGGAGGATGTATTCTCACTGTCTGTGTGGCCGGGGCTGGTGTCTGCAGACTCGGTGTGCTCGCTACTGTCTGGGGCGCCATGGGCTGTCCTATCTGGAAGGTTCACATAGTAGGGCAGCTCCTCCTCGCTCAGCTCGCTTATCGGCGGGCACTTCTCTGGCTCCTTCTCCACTTCGGCCCAAATGGCTTCACGGTCAACCGTGGTGAACTGGCTCAGAGGCAGGTGTTCTTCAGAGCCACCTTCCCGAAGCTCAGGCCCTCCACATACTTCTTTGAAAGAGCTTTTCTTCCTGTTAAACCAACGATGCAAGTCCTCTGAAAATTACAAATGACAAATGACTTTAGGACAGAAGGGTTAGTTATGATAAAGTAGCTCTAGCGTGATCTTTGTCTTAAAGCCAGACAGAAAGATCAATTTTAATAAAATTCCCACGTGAAACTACACAGCCAGAGTCTAGATTACATTATGGACAAAAGGTAGACAAAGGGGGGGGAAAAAGGTTTTTTAGAATGTTCAAGGCATAGGATAGTTTAATTACGTTGTCATAGAAAATTTAAGTATCAAAACTTTTTCAGGAGGGCAATTTAAAAAAATACATATGATTTTGTCCCAGGAATTCTTTCCAAGAAATGTATCCTACAGAAATGTTAGCAGGTTTCCAAAGCTCTGAGGAACAGGGTATTCACTGAGAGATGTCACATGTAAAAGACAAACTGGGAAGCAAACTGAAGATCCACAGAGAGGGGCTGACGCATCAGGTACAGGCAAGCAATGAACTACTGTTCGGGTTTTAAAAAGATACATTTATATGTGCTGACATACAGCACCGTGCAGGATATATTAAGTTAAAGAAAAAGTTAAGCCAAAGAACAGTACATATAGAATGAGCGCAATTAGGGGAGAGTATAATACACAGCTATGAAAAAGTCTGGAAGACTATCTGCCAGACCATTAATAGTACCTAGCTCTATCGACTGGCATTATAAGGACTTCCACTTATGTTTTTACTTCCTTATTATTCCAATTTTTAAAATAAGCATGTTAGTACTTCTATAATCAGAAAAATACACAATGTTTTTGAATATTCAAGTCTCTTTAAAAAGAAGTGAAAGCTGAGTGTTTGGTATTCCCAAACATTTTTAACATGCAGCTTTCAAATCTGTGCCATGAACATTAAGCAAAATCAGGAAAAAAGGAAGAATATGATATAAGACATCAAGCTGTTTGAAGTGTAAAATAATACTTAAGAAATAGATTTCTACAGGATTACAGCAGTAGAGTGGGGGTAAGCAGTACACTTCTGGTTCCTTCCAGGGAAAGAAAACAGCAGAACAAAGATGTTCTCTCATATTAGGAGGTAGCAGACCAGTGCTGCGGTCGGCATTAGACAGATTAGAGGAAGCAGCAGGGCAGAGCTGGGAGACTTTTAAAAAACCCACTGAACTGTGGAGTTAGAACTTTCTTCTGAAAACAGACAAATGAATACTAAAAAATTCAGCTGCCATGAATGGTAGCCAAATCTTTAAGAAGGTGCTTAGTTTATACTTCTTTAAGTTTTACTTTCTCATAATGTAGAATAATAAAAAGTCTCCTCTTTGAGAAGGCAGCCAGCTTTCCCTCCCAAAGGAAAACTAGGGGTTACAGGTTTAGGCCACGAGCCATGTACAGAGAGGAAGCCATTTCACACATCTCTGCTCATTTAGGTGGGGAGCTGCTTTTCCCCGTAGGATAAAACTGAGAAGAACATAACAATATTTACAACCCAGTGAGCTAAACAAACGCACTCGAAGCTTGTAAACCATCCTTAGAAAACTGCAAAGTCATAAAATACAACTATTGTAGGAAGTAAAGTTAATTCATAAAATGCATAAGGTATTAAAATCAAGTTTAATGGACTCATCAGGTTTATTTCGTTTTTCTTTTTTTTCTTCGTTCCTACCTACATTCTTTTAAACTTGTGTTAAAGATGCCTCTGGAAGTTCTCTGAACTAAAAGGTTCAATTTTCTGCATTCCTGATCATTTGATTCATAGGATTTCATAGTCAGAAAGAACCTAGAGAGCAGACAGAAAAGAAACCACTTACCTTACACTTAAAGGTTCACAAATAAAAGTTATTTTTATAGATAAACTATAACTGACCAGATTACATGCAAATTTCAACATGTGCAGTCATACCTGGGGGCCACCTAAACTACCCCATCCCCACAGTTAGGCAGTGGATGTGAGTACAAGTGCTAGCCTAGCAAACCCAAAGCAAACAACTTCACACCAGACATCCAACTCCAACCCTTCTCTTCAAAGTGAAGGTGTCAGCTTTGGAGATATTTGGATAGATGTTCTGTTATTCTCTCCTCATACCTTAGACACACTGAATTATTTTGTCTAGTGAGAAATCCAGAATCACCTATTTATTTTGGAGCATGGGTTATTGAATTTTTTAAAAAAAAATTTAATAGAGAAATAATAATTGTATTCATCTATGAGGTACGATGTGATGTTTTGATATTGCATACATTGTGGAATTATCAAATCAAGCTAATAAAAATATCCCTCACCTCACTTATCTTTTTGTGGCAAGAACATTTAAAATCCGCTCACAAAAGTAGAGAGCAGAATGGTGGTTACCAGAGGCTGGGGAGAGAGGAAACGTTGGTCAAAAGAAGCACAGGTTCAATCAGACGGGAGGAATACGTTTTAGTGATCTACTACACTGCATGGTGAGCATAGTTAATAATAATGTCTTGAGTATTCCAAAATTTTCCTTTTTCTTAAAATAATAAAACAATTGGTTTTTCAGTGAAAACAACAAACCTACTGCCTAGTTCTATGTGCTAGTTCCTCTGATCCTTAAATTTTCAGTCTTCACGAGTTTACATTTTACTTTTACATTGTCTGAATCTAGCACCACCATCAAGTGGGACTAAGTCCCTTAACCGTGACAAGGGGCAGTGAGATCCAGTCTGCCTTTTCCTCCTCGTGTACCCAGGGACCCTGTGCAGGCTGCTCACCAGCTGAGTTCTGCTTGAGGCAGTGGATGGAGGTTCTCTGAGTTTTGGGCTGGAGCAGTAGCAGGAGCATGGGTTCAAGGATGCGTGCCACATCCCCGAGGGACAATGCGCGCACCAGCCAGCCTTGGGCCGCTGCTCCGATGGCACCATCCGGGCATGCCAGGCTGTCCAGCACCACGAACAAGGACCTGTGGGGGAAACCGAACCACTGAGTCCATGCTCAGCCACCCTGTGCACCAGGCACGGTGGCAGACACTGTGCATATAGTGTCGATCAACACGGATGCCCCAGGGAGCTTCACCCACCCAAGCTGGGCTTACAGACCCTAGAAGATGAGGACAAGGGGTTCTCAACCATTAGAATCACCATGAGGAGCTTTTAAAACCCCAATGCCTGGACCTCACTCCAAATGGGTTACATTAGTGCTGGGAATGGGCCCTGGGCATCAGAATCAGCAGGTATATCTCTAAGGCTGCATGCCTGGCCTCACCCCTAGAGTTTCTGAGACATGGTAGGGCACTTGGAAAAAACAATGTGTAGTATAATGTACCTGCAATAAAATTCCCATCTTGAACATGTAGTCAATGATGTGACGAGCATATATATACCCAGTGCGGCCACCACCCCCATCAATGTCTAGACCACCCGCACATCCCTGGCAAGCCCCCTTGTGAGGGCACATTGTAAAAGCTCCACAGGTGATCCTGAGGCATACTGGGCTTCCTCACTCTCTGACCAAATTAAGAATAGTTCTAACGTGTATTCACATGTTTCTGGCCTAAATTCAATTAGGGGATCATGGGACCCTTTGCTGTGTCCCACAGGAGTCATGTGCAGGGCTTGTGTTTCCAATTTTGCACATCTCTCCCTCCCCAGCCCAACGTGCTCAGCAGGAACCTCTGCACAGCTTCCTTTTGTGCTAAGGATAAATGACAAAGACAACCGCCTCACCTGTCAAAGGAGCGATTGTGAGACGTCACTCGACTGCCTTGGATCTCTCTCGTCAGGTGCCAGATCACAGAAAATCTAAACAAAGCTTCCAATCTTGTTCCCTTGATTAGGTAATAAACGGAAGTGAGGAACGTGGTCTCATAACTGAATGCCATTTTCAGTCACAATGAACCCCATTTAAATAACAGATGAGCAATCTCAGAACTGATGGCAACCACAGCAAAGACTCTGTATCTTCATGTGTTTGACTTGAACAGAAGAAAGGGAAACCTGCCTCCTCTTTCCTCACTCACTTTAATACAGACACATGTTTCATAAACTGCACATTCAAGATTTGGCATTACTCTATGTCTAGGGTAATACCTGAGGCTTGTGGCCTCATGAAAACAAAAAAGAACATGGATTCCTCATGTCCCTTGCAAGTATCAGGGCTGTGTATCTTAAAGAGCAAGGATACACTCTTGACTGCATAGGACAGCCAGGGACAATAAGTTCTCAATTAGTTTTTTAAAGGGACAATGAATTCTCTACAATTACCTATCTTGCCAATAGCTCTAGAAGACCTTAATGTACTTACAGGGAGTTTGGCAGATTCCCCTGGTGAGCCCTAATATTGATACAAACCATATTTTTAAGACTCTGAAGGAGATGGCTCGGGCTCCCAGAGGCCTTCTGGTACTGAAATTCTATAACACCTCTGCTCATTAATCAGGATGAAAGACTTCAATTGCATGTATATACATCTGCATGTAAAGCAAGGCAGCAGCCAGGTTGCTGCGGGATGGAGGCTACAGGTGGAAAAGACTCACCTTGTCAGGGTCCAGGAGGGCATGACAGATGATGTCCTCGCAGATGTTGGCCGTCGGGGCTAGGCAATGCAGCCGGTAGAACAATTCCACACAGGTGATGTGATGCTCCCGGGTCTCCTTGTTCAGCTGATTCCATAGCACACGAGCCACCCTCTGGGACAAAGAAAAGCAGGTGGAGACCACGTCAACACGGGATGCATTTCCTCCTCACATCAGTCCAACCCCAGCCCTACCTTACTGGCTTTCACCTGTATTCACCATGTGAGAACCCTCCATACCCAGAGACACATCACCAACAAGTAAAACAAAGCAAAAAACCCAACAGCAGTCATCCAGGCAACAGGTAATGTTGCAGGTTAAACTTGGATGTTTCTGACCAGCTAAGAACACTGTGGCTCTTGCCCAGACCTCTTATCATTACTCCCAGAAAGGGAATCAATTGGAAACTAGACCTGAGTGGTTGAACCTGTCTTTAGACAAGCACAGACCAAGCCACACCCTGTGCAGGCTTGACTCCAGACAGTTATCCAAATCTATATAAAACACAAAGAGCACCGTTAACAGTAATTATATAATTATAAAAAGACAGTATAAATGCACATTTCTTCTCCTGTCTTCTTTCAACTGATTTAAAAAACAGTGTACTGACAACACCAAAGTCAAGGGTTTGGATCCCCTTACCAGCCAGCACCCCCCCCCAACACCAAAAAGTGTAAAACAATAGGTACATAATGTATCACTGGGCCTATAATATGTAGAAATATATTTGACAGAACAGCACTAACAAGGTGGGTAGGAGAAAGGGTGCACTGGAGTAAGGAAATGATATCAGATGCTAATTCCAATCAACAAACAAGGAGAAGCAGAAATGATACATAAGGATAATAAAACAAACCCTATGTTTGTTTTCCTTTCTTCTCCCAGCTTTTTAAAAATAACTAATAAATAATTAAAAACTATATAGGATAATAATTATGCATTGCTGGGTTTGTAACATACACAGATGTAATCTGCATAACTATACTAGCACAAAAAGGGACGAGGACTAGAGCCATACAGGAGCAGTTTAATTCTCTTAATTCTCACTGGAAGCAGATTTGGATAAGATGTATATGGCAAGCCTTAGAACGACCACTACGAAAATAACTCAAAAATTATACTGAAAAAATCATTAAAGAAATTAAAATACTATACTGGAAAATAGTCACTATTTTAGCTAGTTTGATTAGCTTTCAGATTCTTGCAATTAAATGAGCCCTACAATATATAAGTTTGAACTATTTTCTTTGTCCCCCAGAAAGATGGACAACACCTGCTCACATCTTCAGTAATGCTCTTTCTTAAATTTGACAAGTACTAAATTTTCCTGAGGCTAAAAAAACCTCAAAGCTTTTTTCATCTTGCAAAATAGGGCACATTCTTTTCTCTTAATATTTAGGTAATCGTACAATACAATCCTTACATGTGAAGTCCAGTTAGTCTAAAACTGAACACAAATGTTTACTGAGTATCCACTGCAGGGCCAGAAATTGTGCCAGGAGCCTGGGATACGGAGATGGACAAGGCGGTCTCAGGTCTCAAGAAACCCAACTGGAGCGCCCATATTCCTTATTACAATCATCAACCACATCTTAGGGATGATTTTAAGTAAATAGCCTGAGAAGAGGGTCTCACCCACCCTCTTCCCAGTGGGAAATACCTGATAGAAGTCTGTTTTCTCTGAAATGACTTTCAATATCCCAGGAGCAACGGGAGGAACTGTTACCATCTGTAGCTTGCCAAAAAATGGGTTGTGCCCAGAGCTTTTATAGCGTTTCATCTTGTCTTCAATGACAAGTGCTAGGGACTGGGAATGGTTTATCACTTCCAGCAGAGTGGAGATGGCCACGTTCTGGAGGTAGCAGTCAGTCACACAGCAGCAAATGGTCATGAGGGATTTCAGCCAAGATGGAAAACTGGAATCACTGGTTCCTGAATGGAAGCCAGCCAGAAAGGACAAAAAGAAAGTCATATGAGAATGGTTCCCCAACTTGCAGATTCTACAGCACCCTCAATCTGGGAAGTTACTTGAGTGAGTCACCTGGACATCAATGTGCTAACCTTCTGGTGGGGACACTTATTTGGAAATAGGGTCTTTGCAGATGTAATCAAATGATGAGGTCACTAGGGTGGGCTCTAATCTAATAGGACTGGTGTCCTCATAAGAGGAAATGCTATATGAAGAGAGACACACAGGGAGAAGGCCACATGACAACAGAGGCAGAGACTGGTCTGATGTAGCTGCAAAAGCCAAGGGACACTGAGGACTGCTGGCAACCTCTAGAAGCTGGGAGAAGCCAGGAAGGACTCTACCTGGAGTCTCAGAGGGAGCACAGCCCTGTTGACACCTTGATTTTGGACTTCTGGCCTCCAAAACTACAAGACAATAAATTTCTGTTGTGTAAGTCACTCTGTTACAGCAGCCATAGCAAACCAACATGTCTCATTAAATAGTCTATTTACTATTATTAAGCACCTTTTTACGTTCTAGGTCTTCTGATGGGCTATGGCGGACATTCTGATGGGCTATGGTGGACACCCAAGGTTTAAAAATACAGATCCAGCCCGTATCAACTTGCCATGTAGTGAGATACAAAAACATACATAACTAATTACAAAATAAGGCAAGAAACAAATGCAGTCAATAGTCCCTTCTTGGTTGACACAATTTTAGCTAGTCTATAAATACCAATTGTCTCAGTAATGCCAGACTACTGTAGTGGGGCTGTTCTCTCACCTGGAAGCTGGAAGAGCGTTTCACAGAGCTGCTCTGTCTCTTCCTCAGACAGGTAGACTGGGAAGGTGGCACAGTCCAGTAGCAGGTGGCAGGCGGCAGCAAAGGCTTCCCTGCAGTCCTCCCTGGAGCCTCCCAGGTCAATGACTACCTGGTCAATTGACACAATTTTAGCTAGTCTATAAATACCAATTGTCTCAGTAATGCCAGACTACTGTAGTGGGGCTGCTCTCTCACCTGGAAGCTGGAAGAGCGTTTCACAGAGCTGCTCTGTCTCTTCCTCGGACAGGTAGACTGGGAAGGTGGCACAGTCCAGTAGCAGGTGGCAGGAGGCAGCAAAGGCTTCCCTGCAGTCCTCCCTGGAGCCTCCCAGGTCAATGACTACCTGGTCAACATCCCATTCTCCCCCCTTTTTGCTGCTGGGGCTGCTGGGCAAAGAGGATGGTGACTCCAAACTTTTTGTCTTAAATGGAGACCCTCGTGCTGTGAACAAATCTGAAAGCATCTGCTTAAACTGGGGCACAGTGATGGGCTTGGCCTCCCAGGAGTTCTTCCTGCTGCAGTCATCAGCCACCAGACTCTGGGTCCCACCCTTGTCCTCCTTCCCTGTGGGCTCTCTGGACTTGCTTTCTTCTCCAGACGCTGCTAGCTGTGCTCCAAAAATGTTCTTGCTGGCAAAGTTTGCAATTAGCTCCTGGATGCAAAGAAACGTCCTCTGCATACTCCCACCTTTCTTCCAAACGTCGTCTCTTTCCGGAGAAATGCGAGGAAACCTCAGGTGCTCAGAGAGCTCTGGCGACGAGGCACTGAGCCCAATCCCACTGTCCTCAGATTTCAGGGTGGGGAACGAAGTGTCTTCATCACCTGGAATCACTGCTTTTGTTTCCAAAATTATTTCACCATTTTCACCTTTTACTGGACTCTGCAAAAATAGAAAAACTTATATACTGTTTATCTCTTAAGACCAAGGGATTCATGTATCAGCTGAATCAGGCACATGATGAGTGCATTTCAGACCTGTTTTTCAGAGTTGTAAGTCTCTGCACCAAGAGAATCCTTGTGTAAAGTGTATAAAAAATAAAATCAAGAAGGTGCCCAAAGAAGGGGAAGGAGGGGGGTAGTGAGGCCCAAAGAGGAAGCTGATGATGTACCAACATGCTCTATGGGTAGGCTGGCTTTTGAGTCTGCTTTGTCTTATTTATTTAGATTCTTCAGTGTTCAAAAAAGTTGTTTAAAAATTGTTTTTGACAAATTAAAAATATAAATGAGGGAAGTGAGCTGAGGGTAAACTAAAGGCATGAATAAATAAAATAGGAGAAGAAAGCTAGAACAAAGAGCCTGCTCTAAAAATACATATAGATACATACACGTATACACATGTACAGGTATACACACACACATATATACATACATGTGTGTGCCCGCACACACACACACGGTGGCTTTTCCAAAGTGATGACACTTCAACCTTCAATGCAGCAGCCTTTTCTCTTTGCCTATGCTGTTACTTAGGTAGTATAATAAATTTGAAACTCTTTAGTAGTGAACCCATTGTGTTCTCCAAGGAAGAATGAGAAGGTAGTATGTGATTGGTGAAGCATACTGTTATTCATATTTGCAGATTATACATGCATAAGCTTTATATCTTAAATCATTTTCAGGATAGTTTTTCCAACTAGCTAGAAAATCTAGGGAAAAAAAAAAGAGAGAGAGAGCGCTAGCTTTTTTTTTTCATTGGTTATGAACATTCATGAGATACACAGCTGACTGTCCACCCTTGTGCCCTAGATGTGAAAGCCAGATCCATACTGGTAGCATGCCCATTACCACAAATTGTGATTATACCCCGTATCCCCCACCCAATTATCCCCAACCTCCTTCTCTCTCCCCCTTTTCCCCCCTCCACTTGTATCTCTAGGTATGCTCTCTCTGTCTGCAAGTCCAACACACCACTATGGTCTTTCTTTCCTTTTTTCTTTCTCTCTCAGCTCCCACTTACAAGAGGGTACATGCGGTAATTATCTCTCTGTGCTTTGCTTATTTCACTCAACATAAGTTTCTCCAGGCTCATCCATGTTGTACCAAATGGGAAAATTTCATTCTTTTTTATGGCATAGTACTATTTCATGGTGTATATAAACCACACTTTCCTTATCCAATCATCCATCGATGGACATTTAGGTTGGTTCCATATCTTGGCTATTGTAAACAGCACTGTGATGAACATGGCAGTGCAGATATCCCTTCGACGTGATGATTTCCATTCCTCTGGGTATATACCCAGAAATGGGATTGCTGGATCGTATGGAAGATCTATCTGTAGTTGTTTGAGAAACCTCCATGCTGTTTTCTTTTCTTTTTTTCTTTTTTTTTTTTTCTGACCGGTAAGGGGGCTGCAACCCTCGGTACAGTGTGGTCCACACCATGCTCAGCCAGTGAGCACACCGGCCATCCCTATATAGGATCCAAACCTGTGGCCTCGGTGCTACCAGTGCCACACTCTCCCGAGTGAGCCACGGGGCCGGCCCTCCATGCTGTTTTCCACAGTGGTTGTACTAATTTACAGTCCCACCAACAGTGCAGGAGCACTCCCTTCTCTCCGTACCCTCGCCAGCAACTGTTATTCACTATCTTTTATTTACAGCCAGTCTAACTGGGGTGGGGTGATATCTCAATGTGGTTTTAATTTGGATTTCCCTGAGGACTAGTGATGTCGAGCATTTTTTCACATACTTGTTGGTCATTTGTATGTCCTCCTTTGAAAAATGTCTGTTCAGCTCCTTTGCCCCTTTTTAAATTTGGTTATTTGGTTGTTTTTTTTTTTTTACTGTGTAATTGCTTGAGTTCCTTGTATATTATGGATATTAATCCCTTGTCAGTTGCATAGTTAACAAAAATTTTATCCCACTCTGTAGGTTGTTGTTTCACTCTGTTGATTGTTTCCTTTGCTGTGCAGAAGCTTTTTAGTTTGACATACTCCCATTTGCTTATTTTTTCTTTTGTTGCTTTGCTTTTAGGCTCTGTGTCCAGACCTAGTTCTTGAAGTGTTTCACTAATATTTTCCCTTAGTAATTTTACAGTCTCAGGTCTTATACTTAAGTCTTTAATCCATTTTGAGTTGATTCTATTGTATGGTGAGAGGTACATATCTAGTTTCATTCTTCTGCATACTGATATCCAATTTTCCCAGCACCACTTTTTGAAGAGGTAGTCTTTTCCCAAATATAGATTTTTGTTGCCTTTGTCCAATATCAGATGGCTGTAAGCCTGAGGGGTGATTTCTGGGTTCTCATTTCTGCTCCACTGGTCTGAGTGTCTATTTTTATGCCAGTACCAAGCTGTTTTGGTTACTATAGCTTTGTAGTATAATTTGAAGTCAGGTAGTGTTATGCCTCTGGCTTCATTTTTTTTTGCCCAGGATTGCTTTGGCTATTCAGGGTCTTCTGTTGTTCCATATGAATGTTAAGATTGTTTTTTCCATTTCTGTGAAGAACGTCATTGGTATTTTGATGGGGATTGCACTGAATCTGTAAATCACTTTGGGTAGTATAGACATTTTCCCAATGTTAATTCTTCCAATCCAAGAGCATGGAATATCTTTCCATCTTTTTGTGTCTTCTTTAATTTCTTTCAGTAGTGGTTTGTAGTTCTCATTGTAGAGATCTTTCACCTCCTTGGTTAAATTAATTCCTAGGTATTTTATTTTTTTCATGACTATTGTAAATGGGCTGGCTTACTTAATCTCTCTATTAGTTCATTATTTGAGTATATAAATGGAACTGATTTGGGCACATTTATTTCGTATCCTGCAACATTACTGAAACTATTAACCAGCTCTAGGAGTTTTGTGATAGAGTCTTTAGGTTTTTCTCTATATAGAATCATGTTATCTGCAAATAGGGACAAGTTTTACCTCATCTTTTCCAATCTGGATGCCCTTTCTTTCTCTTGCCTGATTGCTCTGGCTAGAATCTCCAGTACTATGTTAAATAGAAGTGGTGAGAGTGGGCATTGTCTTGTTTCTGTTCCTAAGGGAAAAGCCCTCAGTTTTTCCCCAATGAGAATGATACTGGCAGTTGGCTTGTCATAGATAGCGTTTATTGTGCTGAGATACTTTCTTTCTATACCTAATTTGTTGACTGTCTTTATCATGAAGGGATATTGAATTTTGTCATATGCTTTCTCAGCATCTATTGAGATAATCATATGGTTTTTGTCCTTGAGTTTGTTGATGTGATATATCACATTTATTGACTATTGTATGTTGAACCACCTTTGCATCCCTGGGATGAATCCCATTTGATCATGGTGTATAATTTTTTAAATGTGTTCCTGTATTCTGATTACTAATATTTTGCTGAATATTTTTGCATCTACATTCATTAAGCATATTGGCCTGTAATTTTCTTTTTTTGTTGTGTCTTTACCTGGTTTTGGTATGAATAAGTTTGGGAGAGTAGCTTCTGTTTCAATTTCTTGGAATTGTTTGAGGAGAATAGGTATGAATACCTCTTTAAAAGTTTGACAGAATTTAGCTATAAAGCTATCCGGACCTAGATTTTCTTTGTTGGAAGATTGTTGATTATTGCTTCAATCTCGTTGCTTGTTATTAGTCTGTTCAGGTTTTCTATCTCTTCTTGGTTCAGTCTGGGTAGTTTATATGTGTCTAGAAACTTATCCATATCTTCCAGGTTTTCATATTTGTTGTCACACAGTTGTTTGTAATGGTTTCTAATGATTCTTCGTATTTCTGTGGTATTGGTTGTAATATCTCCCATTTCATTTCTGATTCTTGTTATTTTGGTCTTCTCTCTCTTTTTTTTAATTAACTTAGCTAATGGTTTGTGTATTAGTCCATTTTGTGTGCTATAACAGAAATACCTGAGAGTGGGCAATTTATAAAGGAAGGAGGTTTATTTGGCTTATGATTCTGGGACAGCTGCATCTGGCACGGGCCTCAGGCTGCTTCTACTCATGGTATGAAGTGGCAGGCAGCCAGAAGGTACAAGCAGATCACATGGCAAGAGCAAGCAATAGAGGAAGAAAGAGAGAGAGAGAGGAGGTGCCTGGGTCTTTTAAACAATCAGTTCTCATGGGTACTAACAGAGTGAGAACTCACTCATTTATCCCCCATTCCCCAGAGAGAGCATTAATCCATCCATGAAGAATCCGCCCCCATGATGCAATCAGTTTCCAACACTGCCACATTGGGGATCAAATTTCCATGAGTTTTGGAAGGGACAACACATCCAAACTCCATCATTCTGCCCCTGGGTGCCCAAAACTCATTTCCCTCTCACATACAAAATACAATTATTCCATCCCAACAGTCCCCAAAGTCTTAACTTGTATCAGCACCAACTTAAAAATACAAAGTCCAAAGTCTCATCTGAGACCAAAAGCAAAAGTCCTTCCAGCTCTGAACCTATAAAAATAAAAACCAAATTTGTCTATTGCCAAGATACAATGGTGGAACAGACAATGGATACACATTCCCATTCCAAAAGGGAGAAATAGATCAGAAGAAAGGAGAAACAGGTCACAAACAAGTCTGAAACCCGGCAGGACAGACATTAAATCTTAAAGCTCCAAAACAGTCTTCGTTGGCTCCAAGTCTTGCATCCCGGGCACAATTGGGCATCTGGGCTCCCAAAGCCTCAGGCAGCCTCACTCCCACAGCTCTGTCAGGTGCAGCCCAGTGGGCTGCATTGCTGCCTGTGGCTTTTCCAGGCCTGCATTGGATGTTACCAGTGGCCCCGGAGTTCTGGGGTCCTGGTGGCAGCCCTGCTGCCTTGGCTCTACTAGACATTTCCCTGGTGGAGGCTCTCTGTGGGGGCTCTGACCCCACTTTCCTGCTCAGCATTGCTCTAGTAGATGGTCTCTGTGGCAGCACCGCCCCTGTGGCAGGTCTCTGCCTGGGCTCCCAGGCTTTTCCATACTTCCTCTGGAATCCGGGTGGAGGCTGCCATGCCTCCAGTGCTCTCATGTCCTGCCAGCCTGCAGACTTAATACAACGTGGACACCACCAGGGTTTCAGTCTTCTACTCTCCAGACATGCTGTGTGAACCACACTTGGGGCCACTCCAGCCGGAGCAGCTGGAACACTGGGAGCAGGTTCCCGAGGGCAGCTGCGTCCCACGTTTGTCCTCTGGGACAACTCAGTCCTTCTACGTCTCAGGGCCTGTGATGGGTGGGGTGCTGTTCCAGACTTCTGAAATGCCTTTAGGGCTTTTTTTCCCCATTGTCCTGGTTTTTAGCATCTGGCTACCTCACTGCCAAAATAATGCCTTTAGCAAACAGTTTATCTGCTTCACTCTTGTATTTTTCTCCTGCTCTCAGCTTCTCTACTACATGGCCAGGCTACAAATTTTTCAAATCTTTATGCTCTGCTTCCCTTTTAAATCCTGGCTTTACATCATGCCTTTGCCACCACAACTCAGAATAAGCTGTTAAAAGTAACCATGCAGCTTCCTTAATGCTTTGCTGCTTAGAAATTTCTTTAGCCAAATGCTGTGGCTCACAACTTGTAAGTTCCATATTCCACAAAGTCCAAGAGCATGGACACAATGCAGCCAAGTTCCTTGCTATGGTGTAGCAAGGGTAATCTTTTGTCCAATTCCCAATAAGTTCCTCATTTCTATCTGAGACCTCATCATCCACATGGTCTTCACTGTCCACATTTCTATCAACATTCTGGTCACAACAATTTAACCAATCTCTAAAATCTTCCAAACTTTCCCTCATCTTTTTCTCTTCTTCTAAGTCCTCCAAACTCCTCCAATCTTTGTCTAATACCCAGTTCCAAAGCTGCATCGACATTTTCAGGTATCTGTATAGCAAATCCCACTCCTTGGTACCAATTTCCTGTATCAGTCCATTTTGTGTTGCTATAACAGAAATACCTGAGACTGGGTAATTTATAAAGGAAAGAGGTTTATTTGGCTTACGATTCTGGGACGGCTGCATCTAGCATGGGCCTCAGGCTGCTTCTACTCGTGGTGGAAAGTGGCAGGCAGCCAGCAGGTACAAGCAGATCACATGGCAAGAACAAGCAAGACAGAGGAAGTGAGAGAAAGAGGGGAGGTGCCAGGATCTTTTAAACAGTCAGCTCTTGCAGGATAAACTCACTCATTTATCCCTCCTCCTCCAGGGAGCGCATTAATTCATTCATGAGGGATCTGCCCCCATGACTCAATCAGCTTCCCACACTGCAACATTGGGGATCAAATTTCCATATGAGTTTTGAAAGGGACAACACATCCAAAGTCCATCAGTTTGTCTATTTTATTTACCTTCTCTAAAGACCAACTTTTTGTTTTGTTGAGCTTTTCTATATTGTTTTTGGGATTCTATTTTATTTAGTTCTACTCTGATCTTAATTATTCTTTCTACTACCTTTAGGATTGGATTGTTGTTGTTTTTCAAGTTCTCTGAGGCGTAGTGTTAGGTCATTTATTTGAAGTCTTTCCATTCTTTTTTTTTTTTTTTTTTTGTCTTTTTCATGACCGGTAAGGGGATCGCAACCCTTGGTGTGGTGTCGCCCGCACCGCGCTCAGCCAGTGAGCGCACTGGCCATTCCTATATAGGATCCGAACCCGCGGAGGGAGCGTCGCTGAGCTCCCAGCGCCGCACTCTCCTGAGTACGCCATGGGGCCGGCTTTCCATTCTTTTGATGTAAGCATTTACTGCAATAAATTTGCCTCTTAGTACTGCTTTTGCAGTATCCCACAGGTTTTGGTATGATGTATCCTTATTTTCATTAGTTCCAAGAAATTTTTTGATTTCCTGTTTAATTTCTTCTTGGACCCATAGGTCATTCAGGAACCTATTGCTTAGTTTCCATTTATTTGTATAGATTCCAGAATTTTGTTCATTATTAATTTCCAGTTTTAGTCCATTGTGGTCTGAAAAGATACTAGGAATGATTTCAATTTTTTAAAATATGCTGAGACTAGATTTGTGGCCTAATCTGTGGTCTATCCTGGAGAATGTTCCATGAGCTGATGAGAAGAAAGTATATTCTTTAGTTGTTGGATGAAATGTTCTGTATGCATCTGCCAGGTCCAGTTGCTCTAAGGTTCAGATTAAGTCCTGTCTCTCTTTGTTGATTTGTTGCCTGGAAGATCTGTCCCATACTAAGAGAGAGGCGTTCAGATCACCCACTATTAATGTATTAGGGCCTCTTTCTTTCCTTAGGTCTAAAAATGTTTGCTTTAATTGTTGGGTGGGAGGGGGGATAGGGAGGAGGGAGGGAGGTTTCGGTAATGGGCCACAATAATCAACCACATTGTATATCGACAAAATAAAATTAAAAAAAAAAAAAGTTTGCTTTATATATCTGGGTGCTCCAGTATTGGGTGCATATGTCTTCTAGCTGGATAGATCCTTTTATCATTATATAGTGGCCTTTGTCTCTTTTTATGTTTTTTTGGTGTAAAGTCTATTTTGTCCAATATAAGAATAGCTACTACTGCTTGTTTCTGGTTTCCATTTGTATGGTATATCTTTTTCCATCCCTTTACTCTTTGTCTGTGTGTGTCTCTATAGGTGAGAAGACAGCATATATTTGGGTCTAGCTTTTTAATCCAATCAGTCAGTCTGTGTCTTTTGAATGGGGAGTTTAATCCACTCACATTTAGGGTAGTTATCGACAGGTACTATTTAATTCTTGTCATTTAAATACTTTTTGTTTAAATGATTTAAATATCTTTTGATCATTATTTCCCCTTTTATTTCTCTTCTTCAATGTTAGTTGGAATTTAAAGTGGCATGATTTAGCTTCTTTCTCTTTCTCACTGGCATTTTTGTTTTAATGGTGGGTTTTGCTCTTTCTTCTGTATTTGTGATAGTGGTCATCACTATTCGGATTACAGATGAAGGACTCCCTTAAGAATTTCTTGCAGGGCTGGTTGTGTGGTGGTGAACTCCCACAACTTTTGTTTGTCTGGGAAATACTGTTTTTCTCCCTCATTTCTGGAAAGCCTTGCTGGGTAAAGAATTCTTGGCTGGCAATTTTTTTCTTTTAGTATTTCGAATATATCATTCTACTTTCTTCTGGTCTGTAGGGTTTCAGTTGAGAAGTCTGCTGTTAGCTAACTTCTATATTGAGGTCACAGTCTGTAATCAGTCTGTAAACTGAGACTCAGTTCCTATCAGGTAGCTCATTTAACCTCCAAATTTTCAGAATGCCTCTCTTTTCAGTATGTTCATACACCTGTCTGCCGTTGTACTGAACTGACTTCAAGGGCAAACTTCCAAATCTCTAAATAAGAAATAGAAAATAAAAATAAAGAACATGGGCATCAAACTGTTTGTGGGACTATCACTGCTGGTCTTTTTGGAAGATAATTTAGCAACATCTCTCACAGTTTATAAGGAGTACATGTACCTTTTGACTGACCCCACTGCTGGGGATTTATCCTTCAGAGACACTGGCACCCATGAACAAGTTGTAGGATGCTGACTGCAGCACTACTTGAACAGCGAAACACTGGAAATAACCTTGATTATATCAACAGGGGAATAACTGAAGAAATTATAAATCCATATCATAGACTCTTACGCAGAAGTTAAAAAAAGAGTAAGATATCTTTATGTACACCGAATGATGCAAAGATGTCCCCAAACACTGAATGAAAACTAAAGCAAGTCAGAGAACAGTATATGTTATGGGTTGAATTGTGTCCCCCTAAAAGATGCTAAAGTCGTAACCTCCAATACCCTTGAACGTGACCATATTTGAAAATAGAATCTTTGCAGATGATCAACTCAAGGTGAGGTCATTAGGGTGGGACCAAATCCAATAGGTCTGGTGTACTTATAAAAATGAGAATTTCAGACACAGAGACAGACATGCGCACAGGGAGAACACCATGTGAACGAGGGCAGAGACTGGCGTGATGCTTCAACAAATCAAGGAACACCAAAGATTGGTGCAAACCAGCAGAAGTTAGGAAGGTGGCATGGAACAGATTCTTCTTCCCTAGCACACTCAGGAAGAACCAGTCTTGATAATGGATTCTGGCCTCCAGAACAGTAAGAAAATTAATTTCTGTTGTTTATTTGTTATGGTGGCAAGAGCAAATTAATCCAGTGTATAATCTCACTTACATTTTAAATAACCAAAATCACGCGCATACACACACATATAAAAACGCCTGAAAAGCTGGCTATATCTAGCCACTAACTGTAGGTATGCAGCAGGAGTTATGTAGCACGGAGTGGGGGAAGCGAAGTGGGTAAAGAGCTACGCTAAAACCTTTTAAAGCGTCTGAAGATTTTACAAGAATATTTGACATAGGCTATATCTAGCCACTAACTGTAGGTATGCAGCAGGAGTTAATGTAGCACGGAGTGGGGGAAGCGAAGTCGGTAAAGAGCTACGCTAAAACCTTTTAAAGCGTCTGAAGATTTTACAAGAATATTTGACATACTACCTGTGTATCTTTTCATCTTTCTTCCTATCTTACCAACCCTAATTACGTACTACTCCCTGGAAGGCATAGCTGCTTTTGGCCCAGAGAACGAGTCTCACTCCTCAGAGCACATACCGAGCTTCCACTTGGGGACTCCATGTCTAGGTAGGAAGGCGGCATTTGGACTTTGCTGAGCACCTTGAAACAGGTCTTCAGGGCATGTGTGAGTTCAGGTAAGCTTAAGGCCTCCACATCCTCAGCAAGAGGCTGCACTAGGCAGCTGAGCACCTGTGGGAGGTACTGGGTTTGTACCTCAGAGTAAAGTTCCTGTGAGATTAAGAAAAAAAAAAAGGGCTTAATTCACACAAGGTTAGTTTATAACCAGAAAAAAAATTCAACTCAAAATGGCATCTTAGAAAATTCATTTTTTATCGGTTAGAGTATGGTGTTACAACACCAAGACCAAGGGTTCTGATCCCTGACCCAGCCAGCCACCAAAAGGAAAAAAAGAAAAATAATTTTTTAGAGCACAAGTTTTACATTACTTCCCAAATTAGAAGACAAAATAATATTTCCTTTTGATCTTCACAAATCAAGGAAATTCCCTTTCTCCTTTCAACTGACTTTACCCATCCTAATACGAAATAATAAAATTGCCACATATATTCCTATATTAAGGAAATTAGTTTCCTTTGAGACAATTAGTCAACTGCACAATTTTAACCAGAAAATGTATTCACTTTCGCCCCTAAGTAACTGTAGTACAGGGATGATACCCAGTTCATCGGCTGGCTTATATAACTTCAGCTCAGCCTACTTACAACTGACCCAAAAGTTATAACCCCTTTTAAATAAGACTTTAAAAATATAAGAGATTAGCAAGCCTGGCTGGTTAGCTCAGTTGGTTAGGATGCAATGTTATAACACCAAGGTCAAAGGTTTGGATCTCCATACCAGCCAACCACCAAAAAAAAAAAAGACTGCATCTAGCTACATCTTCCATGTCGAAATGAACGTTATTTTGTGTTGTGTATTTATGTAAAACCGTTTTTCAGTAAATTTAGGTTTATAAAACAGGCTGACAACACTAATAAGAATGGAAAGGACAGCAGGCATTGAGCCATTGCCTCACAGCAAAGTACTTACCAAGGGAATCACGTCCAGAAGGAACACGAGGAGGGTGCAGAGCTCTGAGACTGTGGGGGGGGCGCTGATGCTTTTTCTGACAGCATAACTCTGCTTCACTGGTCTATATTAATCACAGCCAAGAAAAACAAATTAATTCTTTCTCCTACAATAATTTCAAACATTTCTTATGATTTCCAGTAAAGTTATTCTATTGTAAAGATAATAAAAGATAGGTTACATAGTTCCAGCTAAGCTTTGGTGAATATAACTATTGGACATAGAGAAGTGCCAATATGCATTTTGAATCTGTCTCCAAAACGGGTTCACTATGACTTGGACTCCATCAATTCAAGTGTGGGTGGTACCATGTCCACGTGGGATGCCACACCCATGCAGACTGGAACGCAGTCAACAGGTACAAGCCTAGGAGCCCAATCCCCAACCACAGGCACATTCCAAGCAAATGAACTGGGCTAGAGAGCAACACAGGCCAAAAAGCTGTTTACTTCACTGTAGGAACAACCTGAAACCCCCTCCCCATGTAACACCCATGAGTTCATCGGCCCTTGAGTTGCAAAGAATTCTTCAGCTTCGATAGAGAAGTCTAACTCCACAGCTCAACTCTATTGTTAGCTGCTTATCTCATACTGAAATTCAACACTTCTTTTCAAACAAGCAGGCAATTAGATAAACAGGTACATTAAAAAGTATATATTGGTTCTCAAAGCAGAGTAACCTGGCTATCATGGTACAACTCAAGCTGAGTTAATTTCCTTCCTTGTAAATTAGCACTTAGGTCTCTTCGAGAGCATCTTAGGAGAATGCCTATGAAGAACTGCATCCTAGCCATTGGACTCCTAGGGGTCTACTCTAAAGAATCTGTGCATATGTGCATGAAGAGACAGGACCAAGATGCTCACCATAGTACTATTCACAACAAGAACAAGATTGAAACTGGTTTATTCAAACAAGGGACTATTATTCTTCAGATGAATGAACTGGATGTATATGTTACAGTGCATCTCCCAAAGGACTGTTAACCCTCCAAAACAGCACATTGCAAGAAAGTTATACAACTTGATGTCATTTACATAAAACTTTAACAGACATAATAGACTATACCATCTATAGATACACACTTTTTATAAGAGCACATAACATCATGGGAAAGACAGACACTAATTTCAAGACAGTGATAAACTCTGGGATGAAAGGAGGAAAATGTTGGGAACGTGGGGAGTTAGCTCCATCTGGGTAGCAACATTGTGTTTTTTATTCTTTTGAGAAATAACCAGTGTATCTTTTTTTTTTTTTTTTTAAAAGATGACTGGTAAGGGGATCTTAATCCTTGACTTGGTGTTGTCAGCACCACGCTCTTCCAAGTGAGCTAACCGGCCATCCCTTTATAGGGATCCAAACCCGTGGCCTTGTTTTATCAGCACTGCACTCTCCCAAGTGAGCCACAGGCCGGCCCAGAAATAACCAGTGTATCTTTGAATAGCCAGTCAAGATGATGTTGAACGTTCCTAACACAAAGAAGTGACAAATATTTGAGGTGATATTATAATCATTGCACATAGTATGAATGTACCCAAATATTATATTGTACTCCTTATGGAATACATATTTATATATATATAATTATCATGGGTCAATTAAGAAAAATAAAGAGAAAAAAAGAGAAACAGAGAATAGAACAGTGGTTACCAGAGGCAGGGAAATGGAGGGGAAGGGAGGTTGGGAAAGGTTGGTAGACTGGTACGAAGTTACAAAGTTACAGTTAGATAGGAAGAATCAGTTCTGGTGCCCTTGGGGGCCAATAGCTAGTAATATTATATTGTATATTTCAAGACAGCCAGAAAAAAGGATGTTGAATGTTATAGCTACAAAGAAATGATAAATGTTTAGGTGACAGATATACTAACTATTCTGATTAGATCATTATACAATATATACATGTATTGAAACAACAAACTATACCCCATAAACTTGTACAATGGAAAAAAAAGAAAAACTACAAGCTAACCAAAGCATGGCCTCGCTGTCACCTGTGGATCCAATGACAATTAATTTACTCATCATGGATGTTAAATCCATGCGGGCCTGGTGCAAGGCGAGGCAGGGGACGCAGCAGCAGTGGCTGGGAAGTCAGACCCAAGGCTAGCGCTGCTGGATTCCAATCTCAGCTACCACTCACTGATTTGCTGTGCAATGCCAGAC